GGACTCTCCAGGCCAAGGCTCTCACCGCTACACCGCACTGTCTCCCCCGGACTCTCCAGGCCAAGGCTCTTACTGCTACACTGCACTGTCTCCCCTGGACAGGCTTAGGCGGGGAAGAAACTCACTCCACCTCGCATGCCGGAGCCAGCCTTTTTCCTCGTCCTGCCGTGTCTGTTTTTCCTCGCGTGACGCGCACTTTCGGGAACTGGAAGCTGGCTTCAGGGGCTCCGTCCAGTGAAGCAGGCCCCTTCCAGCTCCACTAGCCCATCATCCTGATCCAGGGGTTGGACTGGGTGGTCTCCATGGCTCCTTCCGACTCCACTCATGATCCCATCATCCACGGTCGGACCTGATGGCCTTCAAGCCCCTTCCAACTCCAATATTCCATGATCCCATCATCCACGGTCGGACCTGACGGCCTCCATGGGCCCTCCAACTCCACCATTCCATGATCCCATCATCCATGGTAGGACCTGACGGCCTCCATGGCCCCTCCAACTCCACCATCCCATGATCCCATCATCCACGGCTGGACCTGACGGCCTCCATGGCCCCTTCCAACTCTACTATGATTCCAGGGTTGGACTAGATGGCCTTCACGGCCCCTCCAACTCCACAATCCCATCATCCTGTGCTGCAGGGGGTGGCCCCGCTCAGCCCGGGGGGGGGGTCTCCCGGGACTCCCCCGCCCACACTCCCCGGCACGCGCTCGCCCTTACCTGGGGGGGTGCAGGGTCTGGGGGCTGCACGGGCTGAGGAGCGTCGGGCTCAGGCTCCCGGGGGACACGCTGCAAGGCAAGAGAGGCTGCCAGGCTGGCTCCGGGCGCTCTGCACGTCCTCAGAGGCCACGCTGGCCCCGAAGAGGAGGGGAGGTGGGTCCCGGCGGCCGGCCCAGGGAAGGCACTCTGCGCACGCTCAGAGGCCTCACCGGAGCCGAGGAGGAGGAGGGGAGGGGAGTTGCAGTGGCCACACAGGGAAGGCACTCTGCGCGTGCTCAGAGGCTTCACCGGAGCCGAGGAGGAGGAGGAGGAGGGGAGGTGGGTGGCAGCAGGCGGCCCAGGGAAGGCACTCCGCACATCCCCAGAGGGCTCGTTGGACGAGGAGGAGGAGGAGGAGGGGAGGCGGGTTGCAGCGGCCAGCGCAGGGAAGGCACTCTGCGCACGCTCAGGGGCCTCACCGGAGCCGAGGAGGAGGAGGAGGAGGAGAAGGAGGGGAGGTGGGCTGCAGTGGCCGGCCCGGGAAAGGCGCTCTGCACATCCCCAGAGGGCTCGCTGGACGAGGAGGAGGAGGAGGAGGCGGGGAGGCGGGTCCCAGCGGCCGGCGCAGGGAAGGCACTCTGCGCACGCTCAGAGGCCTCCCTGGAGACGAAGAGGAGGCGGCGGCGGGGAAGCGCCTCCCAGCGGCCGGCCCACGAAGGCTCGGGCGGCTCACTTTTCCTCGTCCGCGCTCGTCGCTTTTCCTCTCGTGCGGGGAAGCGTGCGCGGGGGGGGCTCTTTT